CTCATACGGAGCTGTCCAAACTTGCCTCCTCCTGTTTCCCAGCCAAGACTTCTCTGGGAAGTTAATCTGTATATATTTAACACTTCCTCTCAACCAGTTGTTCTCTGGGAACCTATAGATTTACAGCTTCAGACAGCCCTCTGGGTTAATTAGGCTTTGCAGGTTTTTAAAAGACCACAAACTGCTTTTCAGCCTCCCATTACTACTTAGGGGAGAGAAGATTGTGGGCAAGACAATTGATCTCCATTTGTCCTGTGTGTTAAACAAGGTGGCTGTTAGCAGCTGGTGCTTTTCCATAAAATCCAGACCCTGCCATAATAACTCAACTATAAACAGCCTCTTGCAGTCAGTGTTTAACTCCTGTGGTCCATACTGGGGACCTGACATACTCAGATGAAGTAGGAGTGTCTGCTTGGGTGAAAAGTCTGAGTTCCAGAATTCTCCAATGTGTTTTTTGAGTTACACAATGTTGTCATGGCGTCGTAGCGTACAGGCCAGTGCTCAGTGGTGGCGATCCAAGTTACTTTGAATTGCACACACTTATACGCCCAAGGCTCAGCTTGGCAGCACCCCCGTGGGCTCCCACTGTGTGCCAGGCATCAGTAATCGATGGCTGAATGCCCAAGATGATTTTCAGAGGCATCTTGAAATTGTTCCTTCCAAAGCTTTTGGCAAAACAGTCAAAATAGCAAAATTGTACAGTTGCCTCAAGCCCTCTTTTGATAGAATCGGGCATAGATAAATTATGTGTGTCTCTGGCTTCTGACATCTCCCTGTATTTGCCCCTTTCTTATCTGCTATCTCCCTGTCTTTAACGGTCTTCAAACTCCAGGCAGCTTCATCCCTCCCGCTTTCCCAAGCCCCCAACTTCACCTGCCAACCCCTTCCCAGGCCTTTCATCCTTGGAGAACCCGGACTCCAAATTATGCAGAACATCAAAGACCAGAGGAGTTGCTCAAAACTCTCTTTCGGAGAAGAGGAAAGGGAGGAGGAACTGAGATTTTCAGAAAAGGCCAAGTGAAGAACTCCCACATATTTCAGTAGGAAAGGTCTAGGCTAGAACGCAGAGCCTCCTTTCTGGATTCACTGCTCTTTCCTCTTTTCCCTTAAGGTCATCTTGGGAGGGTCAAAGTCAAATTTTAATTGAATTAATCATTTTATGTGCCAGAGGAAAATCTCAAATTTGCAGGAAAAATCAAAATATTATGTGATAGAGAAGTTTCTGAAAGACTAATCACACCTGTTTCTGAAGAGAAAGCCTTCTGGTTTTCTAACTCACATGATTGTCTTCTGTTTCTTCTTTCTCAAATACTGACTCTGGAGTTTAGTGTAAAGATTCTAATGCCGGGTAAGAATCCTACTGAACAGAAAAAGGGACTTGGATGTATGAATGAGCTAGAAGGTGTTGGAAAAGTTAGGTAAATCATTTAAACACATAGATAGGGGAAGTGGGCACACCACATTCAAAGTGATTTGAAGAATTATAAGAAAATTACCCGATACCTAAAGTCTCTCACCTGCTTGCTACAGTGTCCATAATTTATTCATTACACTTTGTCTTCGGGATGACCTTAGAAAATTCAGTGTCCAGGAAGGAATAAAATAACCTGTCATACAGTTCCTTTAAGGTGTCAGGATCTTATTTATTGCTAGGAAGCCAGGAGAGGACAGAGAGAGAGTGCTGAACAAAGATAAACTCCTTTGGGCTTTGTCATTTTGCACAGTGTGGACCCTGCAGAAGTAGTAAAACACTCTCGGTCACAGGCCCCTTCCCAGGTTCTTGGAGCTTCCATGGGACTGGAGGGGAAAGATATTTCAGATCTTGTACTCTGAATCAATGGCCCAGCCTTTTTGGTACCAAAAAAATGTTCTCTACATACAACCCATCAAGTTGCTCAGAGCTTTGGTATAAAAGGTGGGATGCCCAAAAGCAATTTTAAATGAATTGCCTCTCCAGGCTAAATCTCTTTTGGGTTGATGGTAAACATCCAGGAGGTCTAGGACAACTTGGATGTAAAGTGAATGTTTGTTTTTCTAGGTTCATGTTTTGTCCCTGCACTGGATTAATCCTGTTGGGATGGCTTGCTCCCTATGCCCAGATCTCTTCCTGGGAAACAAGTGTTCACAATTATTGGAATGTGAAAGCAACTGAGAGATGATCCATTTGAACAGCCTCCCTTTACAGATGAGGAAACTAAAGCATATTAGTTTATTAGTTAATGACTGCAAGAGTAGAATTGCACGGTGGGCGCAGTATGAGCTTTGGAATCACATAGACTTGGATCCACCACTTAGTAGCTACATGAACTTGGGCAAACTAATATTTCTAAGCTGCCAGTTTCTGCTTCTGTTAAGACAGCTCTTAGAGAAATAGTGTCATAGAGCACCTACTGAAAGAACGAGCTCAAAACTTGCCACGTATTATCATGTTTGCTGTATTTTTTTAATTGAGACAAAATTCACATAACATAAAACTCACCATTTTAACACATTGACTGCCACACTAGAAAAAAAAAACAGATTTCCCTAGGGCCACGGTGTTTTATTATGAAAATAGAATAAAAACTTCAAAAAAAATATTATCCATTCTAATTTAATTAAAATTTTTTCTTTATTGTTTTCTGTGCATAAGTTATATGCAACTTGAAAAATAGTACATGCAGCTCCCAAGGTGAAGAGACACGTGAGTTACATGTTTCACAAGGCCCTGGGCTCAAAACTAGAGCAAGTTAAATACAACTCACAGACAGTTAATGTATTAAAGTGTACAATTCGGTGAGTTTTAGTATGTGCTCCATATTGTGCAACCATTACTACTATCTAAATCCAGAGCAATTTCAATCATCCCCTCAAAACCCTATAACCACTTAGCAGTTAGTCCCAATCCCCCTCTCCCCCAGCCCCTGACAACTACTAACCTGTCTCTGTGGGTTTGACTGTTCTGGACATGTAATGTAAATGGAATCATACAATATGTGGCCTTTGTGATCTGGCTTCTTTTTTTTTGAGACAGAGTCTCACTCTGTTGCCCAGGCTAGAGTGTCGTGGCGCCAGCCTAGCTCACAGCAACCTCAAAGTCATGGGCTCAGGCGATTCTCCTGCCTCAGCCTCCCAAATAGCTGGGACTACAGGCATGCACCACCATGCCCGGCTAATTTTTTCTATATATTTTAAGTTGTCCAAGTAATTTCTTTCCTTTTTTTTTTTTTTTTATCAGAGACAGGGTCTCGCTCTTGCTCATGCTGGTCTCGAACTCCTGAGCTCAAATGATCTGCCTGCCTTGGGCTCCCAGAGTGCTAGGATTATAGGGGTGAGCCACCATGCCTGCCCAAAAGAAAGTTTTTTATAAGCTTGGGTGATATTTGAGTACCCTTCTCTCTTGTTCACTTTGCTCCATGGCAAAGATTCAGAATTATTCTCTTCAGTTAGACATTCACTGTCATTGCATTTAACCTGACCATTAGGTATGGGGAATACATGCCTCTGAGTCAGAATTTCATGCATTTCAAACACCTGGTTACCTCTCCTTCTCCCTCCCACCGCCGGCTGTCTAAATGAAGGCTCATTATGAGATGAGAGGAGTTTTATGGGCTCCTTCCCTCCTAAATGACTGCCCCAGCTCTCAGGCCTGATTTCCCTGATGACAAGATCAGGGAAGAACAGCTTAATATCTGTTTACCTGCAGTCCTCATTTCCTTAGAAGCAGCCTTGTGTGTAGCCCCAGGCCTTCTCTTTATAGGGGAGAAGACCGGAAGCAGGTCTGGTTTGTGGAGGATTTGGTTGTTGACACTCTGCTTGGGAACTAGTGATGTGTAGAATGTGGCAAGATTCCAGCGGTGAAGGCATTTCCCTGGGTTCCTCAAGGATTTGTGCTGCTTTATCTAAGGTAGCACGAGTGGAGGGTCCAGCCCAGGCCGGTTTCCTGACTTGGGTGTTTTCTTTGCTAAAGCTTTGATGATCTGGTCCTCAATACCACTAATTACTTATTTCATTTGATGTTCTATTTTCTTCTTGTTCTTTAAGATCTGGAGTAGGTACTGTGTGTCACCCTTCACATCCATCATCTCCTTTATATCATTTCCTGCTTCTAAATATTTGCCAGCCATGAAGACATGAAAAAGCAACTGACCCTGATCAGGTCGTCTCCATGCTGAATGTCCCTTATGCCTCCAACTGCTCCTGGTTGGCATGATTTGACAAGGAAACTGTGTCAACCAGGAACCCAACAGCCTTTTTTGTCCTGGTCTCCTTATGTTTATGTATTCTCCACTGTTGTCAGTGTTCCTGTTAAGGAGCTGCCCAGATGGGAAATGACACTCCACGTGTGCTATGAACAGCCCAAGCTAGGACTGTTACCAAGAAGCGAGCCTGATGCTCATTCACTACAGCGTAGATTGCCAGCACCTGCCTAGCCCGCTACATTTTAACACCAGCAAACACCTCCCACCCCACTGAGTATCTTTTTTCACTTTAACTGCTGTGAGGCAGAGGCTCCTGTTGTGCAGTTGACTGTTTGATCCTAAGAGCAGAACTTTACATTTCTCCCAATCCATTTTATCCGTTCTTTGCCCTGGGGACTTATAGTATCATTCCGTCAGAACAACGTGGATGGGAGTCTAAAGTAATTCCAATGCAAGAGATTGTTGAAGACATGGAGAAGGATTTTATTTTTTAATAATATGTTAGGATCAGCTCTGTTCCTAGAAAAAAAAAATCCTTCTCTAACTCCTGATCCTTTGGTACTTAAATTAGTAATTTCTAGTTGACTGGGGCTTTTTTGTTTTGAGGATTTGGGGGTAATTTTTAGCATCAACAATTACAATTTTAATAGATTAAAAGAATGGATTGAGTGTTGAACCTCTTTAGGAAACTTTGTACCTCACTCCGTCAGCCAGACATTTAGTCACGTGGGTGCCGTTGTGGGCCTTTGAATGTCTCCATCCCTGTGCTGTCCAGGAAGGATGTTTGAGGTTCTAACCGCACCTCTCTGTCTGTTGCAGTTACCTGGCTGAGCAGTGCTGGAATGGCGGCTTTATCTACCTGATCATGCTGCGTCGCTTTAAGCACAAAGCCCATTCTACTTATAATGGCAACAGTAGCAACAGCTCTGAACCAGGAGAGACACCTACCTTGGAACCGAGTGACCAAACTGGGAAAAAGGGGAAAAGAACGAGAAAATTCGCGGTCATTTCCAGGCCTCCTACCAACAAGGCCCCTGAAGAATCCAAGGGCAACGCTGGCTGTGAGTTTGCCAGTGACCCCAGCGCTGAGCTGGAGAACGGCCCAGACCCTGAGCTTGGAAATGGGCATGCCTTTCAGCTAGAAAATGGACCCCATCTAGAGAGGTCAGAAGTGGCCAGAGGGACAGAGCATGGAACTCCAAAGACAGATGCTCCTCTGACCACAAGCAATGACAAACGCCGCTTCTCAAAAGGTGGGAAGACGGACTTCCAGTCAAGTGACTGCCTGGCACGGGTAAGGTTTGGTTTGATTGTAGAACCTGAATTTTTAAAAGAGATATTGTTTGAAGTTGCTTTTAAGGTTTAGAAAATGCATCTAAGATGATCTTGCAATTGTAGAAGCCAATAACTTCATTAAGATAAATGATCAGAAGACAGCAACCAAAAAACTCAAGTCATTTGATCCCACTTAAATAAAGAGCTAGTCAAGTGATCATAAGTGGAAAATTCAAGCCTTCTGTGCTAAAATTTGAGTCATATGAGGCCCAGATAAAGTACTTAGATGCACCATTATTTATCACTGCTGTCACCGGTGGAATTGCTACTTCAAGGCCAAGAATTCCTGATGGCAGTTGATAGCACAAACATCTAAGCCTCAATATTACACAGGAAGCGTATCTTAACATTCAGGGAAGCATCTGCTTTTATTTTTAGCAGTTCAAAACAAGTGACATTTTCATGGGATCATATTATTACATCGGTGAATTCCAGTGAAGTTTGGAAGCTTCACAGATATGATATCCAGTCGTGATGGTCAAGGTTGGTCTTACCACATCTGCTTTGCCTTTAGGTATGTTCTGAATGGTAATAGATGAGCTTCTAGCCTCAAATTGTCTCCCCTGTTATAGCCAATATTCTCTCATATGAGAGTTATATTTCTTTAGGGTGAACGTGTTCATTTTAAGAATCCTCTTATTGGATATCCCTATGGGCTCCAGACGAAGCAATAACATCCTGAGTGGGTGCTGATTGCTTTCCTCTCTGACTCAGGAGATGCCCTTTAGGGATAAAAGAGAAAGTTGGAAAGGTGGAAAATGGGCGTAGAAGTATCAAGTTCAGCTTTGTATGCTGAGGAGTGGTGCCCTGGGAGTCAATATAATTTCTAGTAAGGCTATATTTCATGCAGATTTTGCAGTTGTAGCCAGTCTGCATGATGGGTTGAAAAGAATCAAAATAACTCGTCTCTTGAAGGGAGCATGCTCCTTTGTTCAGGCAGCGGGGTGATCTTCATAAAGCCTCACACAGAGGAGACATTATGTGCAAATGGAATGTGTAAACAAATGAGAAAATTTTGTTGTTTCTGTCAGTGATTTTCTTCCAATTGTATGGGTCGGTCTCCCACAAAAATAATTAAGGACCAAAAAAAGATTATAATGTACACCCTTCCCAAATTAAGGGCAATAAAAATATTGTAATGTGTTCTTTATCTGTTAACAATACTTCTTGATATGATCTCATCCCCAGTGATTGGATTGTGAGTACACAGAAAGCCTAAGGTGAAAAAAATAAGGTCAGGGGTATTTGTTTCCTTAGTCATTTTGATGGTTTAAGGTACCAAAGGAGGTTGAATTTCACATACAGTCCAAAGAACAGGCTTTCATTTGACCTAGGACACAGTGGAAACAATTTGGGATAATTTTAAAAGAAAAAAAAAAAAACAACCCAAACTTTTAAGAGAGTACTCATCCTCTGCTCATCTTAATTAAAGATAATACTTAAATTCAATTAATAAATTAATTAAAATTGAATTTCTGGATTTCTGGTTTCTGGGTAGTCTATCTAAAGACTACCCATACCAGAGTTCCTTTGACTGGTTTTTGTGCTCAAGGTCAGATGTCCAATAAGGTATAAATGAAAAAGCAAAAAACCAACCCATGCTCTACTACCTTTGGGCCATTGTTTTTTTAAAGCCACACCTACAGAAAGACTTGCCTACTTGCCATCTGGAATTCACATTCTGCGTAACTATTTATAATCCATATTCTGATTATTGGCCCTCGGTCATACATTTTGTCATCTTAAGTCAGAATGGACCACATACCTTCTCAGGCATGAATATTTTAACATCTTTTTCAGCCCCCAAAGAACCTTTATTAGATGCATTTGCCTAGGACTGATAGAGTCACAAGAAGCAGATCTGCACAGTGTCTTCTCATATCCTGGTGGCACCCAAATGGGAACTAATAGACCTTCCCACAAAGGTTGCTGAGGTTCTTGGACAAAAGTGAATTTCTGTTTTTACTCTCCAGCATAGTTGGGACCCAGGGTCATGCTAAAATGGGATTTCCAGAAGAACAGAAATTAGCTATTTACCTCTTAAGCCTTTGGGGGGGGAAAATTCCATTTCATTGAATAATGGCAGATTAAACATGTCAGTGTTGTTCCGTTTCTGCTTTATTAATGATTTAATATATCTGCAAAGACCTAATAAATTACAGAAAAAGCTTATAATATGATCATTCAGACCATTTTTGTTTGTCAGGTACTTCTTTTTCATAGACTGTTATTTGTTCTAAGAAAATATTACGTTAAAATAAATCATCAGTCTTTGTTTTTCTGTTCTGTTCTCCCTTAACAGAACAATAAGAAACAGATTCCCTTTTAACAAATTTTCTTTTTAAAAAAATGGAATGTTTCTATAAAATATTAATGAATAATGAAACAGATATACAAGCAGACTAATTTTTAAAAATATGAAAGTTGGATTTATTCTCTAAAACATAAGACTCTCTTAAGACATAAACTATTTTATATGAGTTCAGAGTCCCCTACTACCTTTCTAGCAAAGATCATTACTCATCCAAGGTGACAGTTTTTGCAAGTCTTTTTATACAAAATATGTATTTTTGTAATGCTGCATGTTGCAAATGAATATAACAGAACATAATCACTTAACAAAGAAAAAAAATTCTTCCATTTGCCAGGCAGACAAGTTTATTCATGACTGGCATGTGTATGTCTGTGGGTACATTTGTGGTCTTAGCCTAGTAATCGTCATCTACCCTGTACCATACGAGACCTTTCCCCTAAGTTTACTGTGTAAGTGGTTCAGCAGAGACCTCATGAAGGCGGTCCCAGATCTGAATCTACAGGAAAGGATGGAAAACTTGAAGGAGAGTCACACTCAGAACATCTCCCAGGTGGTCCCTGATGTTTGTATTAGAGGCAGCATAAAGAAATCCTCTTCTAGGAAGTCCCCGTGGTTACTGGGTGAACTTATATTGTCCTACATAGTGACATCTCCTAAGTGCACGTCTGAGCCTTCACTTCTGTCTGAGCCCTGGAGCTTTATACCGAGTGCCTGAAGGATGTCCCCATCTGGGATATTTCAGATCATGCCTAAAACTCAATGCATCCCTTTCCCACCACTCCAGTGTTCCAAGTCTCACCATCCACAAAGTTGCCCAAGCGAGAGGTTTGATGAGATTCAGCTGCAGAAACCAACCATCCTGATTTGTCCAAAACTTTCCCTGGTTTCTCACTGAAAATCCTTGGAAACCCTTCATCCCAGGCAAACTGGGACAATTGGTCATTGTGGGGTCAACTGAAATGCTGCCATCTTCCCGACTCCACGTGCAGTCAATCACCAAGTCCTGTCAACTCCAGTTCCCTTTGAGATCTCTCAGCTCAGCCCACTTCTCTTTACTCCTACAACTTCAGGTCGGGGCCAGGCTGCTTTTGCTTCTCTCCTGGGCTGTCACGGTCCTTCCCTGCCTATCTCACAGCACCACTCCCGTCCCATTCATCCACTGTCCCCACTCCAAGTGGAGCGACCTTTCTAAAGAGCAAATCTGATCGCTCACAAGTGCACATGCACGTTCATGCACACCGTGTGCACACGCGCATACACACGCTTGCACTGTAGCTTAAACCCTTTGGGTACATCCACTTTGCCTTCAGTGGAAACCTACTAACACCTGGTTGTGTCATTTGAGGCCCTTCATTATCTGATCTCTGCTTAACTTTCTGCCTCTACCTCTCACTGCTTTCTGTTTTTTCTTTTTCTACCTTTACCAGTTCATTCTATAATAAAGAGTACAGATGAAGGCGTTCATAGGGCAAGGTCCAGAAGGGTCCCTGTGGAGTTGGGGGGTGTATCACCCTCCTGGTGTGTGGATGCATTTTCTCATACTTTAGAGATTTCTATGGAGACCTTACGCTTTATTCGTGATTTGGTTAGGAACTCAAACTCCAGTTCGTCTCCCCTCCCTGCGGGACGGAGATGAGGCTGGAAGTTCCAAGCTGCTCATGGCTTGATCTTTCTGGCCACCAGCCCCCGTCCTGAAGCTATGCCAAGATGCCCACCATCTCATGGCTTGCTTCCTCTCTGATTTGGGCTGAATTGCTGCAGGTTTTCTCAAAGGCCATGCTCATTCTTGCCTCTGAGCCTTTGTGGACGCTGCTGTCACCACCCGGTTTCTTCTCCCCTTTCCTTTGTAGCTTAGCATTTGCCCTTTCCCAGGGACCAAGCACCAAGACACTTTCCTCTAGGAGGCCTGTGTGACATTCCTGCCACCTGCTGCGTAGTTAGATGACTCCTCTCTGGGCTCCTGCAGTTCCTGCTGCTTGTCTTCATCAGAGCACAGATCCCATGTAATCCAGTTGCCATTTGGCTTGCTGTGTCGCCAGGAGACTTTAAGGGCAGGGCCTTTTTTGTCTTTTTGTCACTGGTCCTAGCTCAGAGCCTTGCACCTGTAGGTGCTCTGTAGATAATTTATTAACAAAGGCGTCCAAGAGCTCTAGGCCTGGGAGAGGGGACACCAAGTTCCAGTCCCTGCTCTTCCATTCCCACCCCAGTGGACTTTCTCTGGGCTTCTGTTTTCTCATCTATAAACTGAGCATTTTGGTCTGATGACTAAGGGAGTTTCAGCTCTGGCATTATGATCACACATTTCTTCATTCACTAATTATTCTAAATAAGAAGGAGTAAGCAAACAGTCTCAGAATGGGACTGAGCATGGGAGCCAGAGCATTTACTGTAGTGAGATTCTAGTTGGATTACGTGTCTTCCAACATTTGGGGCAAAGATGCTATTGTAAAATTTTATTTTCGGTTCCAGCAGAAATGAGATCCTTTAAATGCTGCAAGACAGCTCCCTTTAATGCGCAGCCCCTGTTTTGGTAGATAAATCCAATCCCTCCATTGGCTTCAGCAAGGAGATGCATGTGTGAACTCACACAGTAATTGGCAGTTTAGGGTAACGCTCTGACAACATTAGTACAGAAGTCCATAGCGTGTAATTTTTCTTGGTTTGGCTTTTTCTCAATAGGCTGACAAAATCTTGTTGCCCTTTGAGGCAACGTAAAAGGAAATGAATGCCCAAACCATCTGTCTGGACAGGGCTTGTTGCAGAACTCGGTCTCTACACCTGTGCTGGGGGCCACACGTCGAAAGTTGGCAAACATTCAGGTCTCCCATCTGCGAGAGCCTCTTACCATCAGTCTCAGTGGCTGTCAAAGGACCGTAGATTATGGGTAAACATTCTATATTTGTTTATTCAGTAGTTCTTACGGGATATCCTTACCATGTGCTAGGCACTGTTCTAGTTGCTAGAGAACCCGTTGGTAAATGAGATAGACACGGTTCCTGTTCCATGGCATGTATATCATATAAGGGGCCACAAACAATAAATGAGCAAATAGATGAATCACAGTGGCACTTGGTGACAAGCGCTATAAATGAAGTAAAACAGTGCAGTGACAGATGGCTGGGCAGTGTCATGGGCAGGGGGGCGAGCTGACATTGGCTGTCACAGAAGGAAGAGTTCACAAAGAGGCAATGTGTGAGCTGAGGGCTGGGTGTCAGGGAAGGGCAGCCCTGCAGGATCTAGGGGCCGAGTGTTCCCAGGGAAGAACCAGCAAAAGCTGCAGCCCCAAGGCGGGAGCGATAGAATGTTCCAGGCGCAGAGACCAAACACCAGCAGGTGATGCGGCAGATGTGGGCAGGGTGGATTACAGAGGTTTACGGCCATCACGGAGTTGCGACCTTATTCTCAGGCCAGTGGGGAGCCATTGGAGGGCTTCAGCTGAATCCATCATGGCGTATGTTCCTTAAATGTCTGCCCTGGATGTCTAATGGAGAATAATGGATTGTAGGAGGTGAAGAATAAAAAGGGAGACCTGGCGGGAGGCTATTGTGGTCACCAAAGCTAAAGATGCTGGTGCCTTAGGGGATGGGGTTGGGGGAGAGGAGCAGAAGTGGATGGATGTGGGGTTATATTGGACATGGAGTCTACAGACCTCGCCCATGCTTTGGATATAGGAGTTGAAATAGGAACCAAAGACAATCGTGGGTTTTTGGATCGCGAATCATCTTTAACACAAGTGGATAACAGTGCTGTTCCCACTAAGACAGGAAAGCCAGGAGTGGGAGGGGGAGGGGTCCAGTCTGGACCATACTGAGGTGTATCAGATACCCAGGTGGAATTGTGTGGAGGCGGTTGGAAATATCCTTAATATTGTTACATTTAAGTTGACCTGTTGGTTTTTGGCCTAATACATGTTAGACACTGATTTTATTTTTAACTGAGCATTGCTTTAGCTATAGGTAGCTCAATGTAGTACTGACAGTTATATAGTTGAAACCAATAACATTTGCCTCTTGGTGCTCATGTCTTCCTCTATATTCCCCTGAACTACTTCATTAGCTGATCAAGAAATTCCAACGCAAGGAAACTTGTGTCAATATCTTTGAACACTCCTCTTACAGTACCTACTTTCAAGTGTGAAAAAAATCATGTTATTGGATAAAAGGGAAAGAGAAGGTCCATTTCTTGACTAGTGTAGTGAGGGGCTATATTACAGACTGGTCATTTCTACCCTCTGAAGCCATTTTCATTAGATATGTGTTTTGTCTGTTTTTAACTCACTGTGTATTGAGCAGGGGCAGGTGTGTGGAGTGGGTATGCCAGTGCTCCTGGTGAAAGTTGTCTAACTCTCCTGTCAAGAGTGTCCGTGCCAGCCATCATTCCATCCCCGTGCACATAGTTTTGCATCTTTCTTGTCCACAAGTCCTACTTCTAAAAGCATTTGACATTAGAAAGATATGTATCTACTATTGTCAGACCCTCTGTTAACCATACGTAGGTGTTGTGTTTAACAAAGAGGAGGAAGAAGGAAAAGAATGACAGTGTAGACTATAATGGGGGGTGGATAGGTTTCTACCAATTTGGGCTGAAACCAATAATAATGGTGTGTTGCTCTTGGAAAGAGGTCCACAGTTTGTGCTGGGGGAGGGAGAAATACTATCTCTCCTCTTCTAGACTCTGGGAGCCACGGCATATGTTCCATGGAAAAAATAAGCCACCATCCTGCCCTCAATTGCACTGGGAGGCACAGGGAGGCAGCCACGGGGCTGTCCTGGTGCTGGTGTCAGGGCCCCAGCAAGCCAGGACAGCAGCTGATTGGCACTTCCCTGCATTCGTTCTTTCCGGTGGTATCTGCTAGGGTCTCGTGTAGTGGAAGCATTGGAAGCTGCCACCCTGGCAGTCATACTGATTCCCAAGGATGGCTTTTTGGAAGTGGTAGAGCAATGAGAGACTTTGAAGGCCAGGGAGGATGTTTCTGAATGGAGAAGAGAAAGGTGTTCCAGAGGTCAGAGGCAGCAAACCAAAAACTGCAGAGTCCAAAGTGAAATGATTGGATGAAATAGGGATCGTTGACAAGTTCATGAACTACTGTGGTAAGCCAGTGACTTCTGAAGTTACATTTGGCCAGACAGGCTCCATTCGTCTGTGGTCAGCGGATGGAGGGGACGGTTGGCACCACTCCATGGGATGGTGGTTGGTGTCCCACCAAGCAGCGCTGCACTAAAGAAAGTATAGGATCCAACAGGTCTCTGTCTGGTAATAATTTCCCCAGACATTCCTATTGCTGCACATCAGTGACTGTTCAACATCTGGTTTTTTTACTATTGCATAAAGTTTCATTTTAGTTTCTGACTGTGTAATTCAGATTTTCTAAATGCTTCACATTCTTCCTCCTTTGCAAGCAGCTGGAATGGGCAGGTTGCCTATTTCTAGGGGGATGATGGCTTTGTCCGTGTTGGACCTTAATGGTTCCATTGGACTCTCATGATGGATGTTAAAAGCAGATGGATTTTGTTTATATGTTGAGGAATGCATTGTGACCCATGCCTATATATCTAGGGCTAAAAAGAACTACAAGGGTGAGCCTAAAGTAAGATTCCAAAATAAATCACTTTTGAAGGTTTTGCTTTCATTCCTCTGAACAGCTCAGTAACTGAGAGAGCTCAACAATTTTGCAGTGAGCATGTGTTTGTGTCCTTGGAGGGAACTGGGGAGACAAGTAGAGGATGAACCAAAGCCGAAAGGCTACTAGCAATCAGACGGCTTAGAGACATTTATTAGATTTTTTTAAAAGGGTAGGTTTTGATAACATTGGAAGCATTTTTAAACATATTTAAAGAGCCTGTGTCTGTAGCAGTCAATATCAAATTTATCAATTAATTTTCTATTTTGGTTTCTCCTACCAAAGGTCTCATTTATATGTTTTAAGGAAGTTTGAGACTCAATTCAATATGTTGTTTTTTAAACATTTATGTGCATATGTATGTATGTATAAGTAGCATATGGTTACCTGTCATCAACATTTATTATGTATCTACTAGTTGTTGTCTTGCTACTACTGCTTGTTTCCGTAAATATCTCATTTAATCCTAACAACAAACCTATAAGTATTAATAATTATTCCCACTTTAGAGGCAAGGAAGCTGAGATTTTAGGGCATTAGGTGAAGTGACTTTCATAAGTTATAAATGGCAGACCTGGGTTCAAACTAGTTGAATGGCGCCAAGATCTGAGCTGTCTTGCTTTCATCTTCCTTCTTTATTAATTGCTACTTGTGCAGAAGTAAAAGGAACCCAGACACAGCCAGTGTTTACGTGCACAGGGACATCTGAGTTTCAGGCTGACTAAGCTTCACCTACTAGGACCCTGGTCAGGAAATTCAGCAATCACGCTTGCTGTGCTGTCCAGTGTCATAGCTTCTAGCCACAGATGGCTATTTGAATTTCATTAGATTTCAATGAAATTAAAAATTCAGTTCCCCAGTCGCCACCAGCCACATTTCAAGCACTCAGCAGCCACCTGTGGCCAGTGGCTCTATATTGGATGGCGCAAATATGGGACATTTCTGTTATCACAGAAGGTTCTATCGGACAGCACTGCCAGCCAGAGACTTTGTTCCAATGCACCGAATTGTTTTTCTTCTGTGATGTCCGTTGACAAGTGATGGACATTCGGCCTGACACGACAGCTCCACTCTCCCGTGTTAATGCCGCGTGTCTGTCAGTATCCTTCACGGTGTGCTCACTTTTTCTTCCAAGGAGGAAGTTGGCCGGATATGGAAGATGGAGCTGCTCAAAGAATCGGATGGGCTGGGAATTCAGGTTAGTGGAGGCCGAGGATCAAAGCGCTCACCTCACGCTATCGTTGTCACTCAAGTGAAGGAAGGAGGTGCCGCTCACAGGTGACTAGATAACTCTCCCCATCTCTCTGCCTCCTGTCCTCCCCGCCCCTTCCCCGGGTGCTAGTATTCTTCCACGTGGTCAAAGCCCTGGTAATTACAGTTCATAACGATTATGGTGGAGCCCAGAAGGAAACCAGGCGGGGACGGTTCTAATTAAACACATCTCTGAGCACAGGAAGTGGTTAATTGCAGAAGATATTCCAGATTGTTCCAAACCATGAAAGAGAGATTGGATCTCTTTCTAGTCTAGTTTGAGTTTGAAGTGAATGTTATATGTTCTAACTTTTGGGAAGCTGTGGTACTAAGGCAACATAGAGTTATTTATTGAATATGCTACTGAGCAGAACACCACATTCCTGACATCTTAACTCCCATTCAGACTTGACTGATAACTTGGGGAAAGTGATTGGTTTTAAGTGTGACCACAGTTCATGCACTGGGGCTTCACTTGTCAGGTCCCACAGGATTTCACACACACTTAGTAGAGACATGTCATGCAGATGTGAAAGGGAAAGTGAATGAATTTTTCTCCTTGTGATCTGAAAACAATTCATACTTCAAAACTTTTTTAATTTGTGTAATGGTCTGAAGGAGGAAGAGGGAGAGTGTTTAGACTATGTGTAAAAACCATTATTTATTTGGAGTATGAAGGATGTAACTATCCCAAAATGTCAGGCATTCTCTTGCCTGCTAGCCAATTGCTTCCACATACATAGGGTGTCTATTATTTGCAAGGCAAGGTGAGGCATGTACCTATGTTGCACACACACATATATAGTTAGGTGTACGTGGGAGAGTTTCACTGATGGAAAGAAGTGATCATCTTTTTCCTAGTCTGGAATTTGGTGTTCAGTCCGGGTACCCTGATTCTAAGGAGGATGTGACAAACCAGAGCAGTATTGGCCAAGATGGACAGGAGATTGACATGCATGTCTTGTGAGGTGTAGTTGAAGGAGCTGGAGGTGTTTAGTCTGAAGAATGGAAAAGCCAAGAGGACCAGGGCACAAGCTAGCAAAGTCTTTACGATGCTAATAACTAAAGTAGAGATAAGATTAACTGCACTTGTCAGTTATCTGGATGGCAGTAATTATTGAAGGGTTAAGACTGAAGTGGATTTTACCCAGAAGAGCATTATTAAACTTCCCAAATGATACATGCTTTAAGGAACTCCTGTCAGGTAGCTATTTTCCCATTAATCACAGGTCTCAGGTTCTAGTCTGTGTTTGGCAAGTTGGCAATTGGGAAGTTCCTGTGCCCAGAGACAAGCTTACATAGAACTGTTCTTGTCCGTTTTCCATCTGAGCCGTTTCTAGTGGGTCTCATCATTTTGTTTGTCTTTCTCAGCCTGGTGTTGTGTGTGTGTGTCTTGGCCTCTGGGGTGTATGAGTCACAGGGCATTCTAGCTATTAGAGAGATGAGAGAAATGGAATTACAGAGGGAAATAGGAAGAGGGAGGGAGATTGTTTTGATGGTGTTGTGGAGAGGTAAACCCAGGGACACTGGCCAGAACCATTGGATTCTTTATTTCTGAATCTCTCTCCTCCCATGAGGAGCATCTCCCTTCTCTCACCATTCCAAGCAATTAGCAGGGCCCTTAGCATTTTTCTGCTTCAGAGATTTTCGAAGGACAGAGAGCAGGGGCTTTCAGAAGTCTCTGGTGCCTCCTGTCATCTGTTAAAACCTAAACTCATTCTGAGAAACCAGTGGCAGAATTTTTAAAAAAGAAAAAGAAAATCTAAATGCATAGAAGAGATTATGATGCATGCCCTAGAGCAGGGGTCCTCAAGCTTTTTTAAACAGGGGGCCAGTTCACTGTCCCTCAGACCGTTGGAGAGTGCGCACTGTGGGCCCAGGACTAGTCAGCTGCTAAGCAGGACAGGCAGCCATGGCAAAAACACCCAGAGGGCCGGATAAATGTGCTAGGCGGCCCACATGTGGCCCACGGGCCATAGTTTGAGGACACCTGCCCTAGAGGAAAGAGAGAATAAGAAAGAAGCTGTTGAAGGTAGGGAGAGGGAGGGAAGGACGGCAGGAGGGAAGGGAGTTGATTCATTGGAAGAAGGTAAGGGAAGGAGTCTACAGACTGGGGAGAGACACAGTTGGTGAAGCATGGTGTGTTGGAGACAGGTGTGGGTTCCATGGTAGCACTCTGGATGCTGATACGAAGCAAGGTGTGATGGAACTTTAGGATCAGGGTCCATCCACCTCCTTGGATTTCCAATCCCATATTTAACAATCTCTGGCTCCTTTGGGATTATGGGAGACCAGACCACTGGAGGCTCTGTTGGAACCCACGGGACTGTTGACCCGCCATGACTGAAGGGGCCCAGTGCTGTGGCACAGGCACCACCCAGAGCCCTGACCCACCCCCAGGTGGACAGTCCCACCAATGGCTGAGTCTCCCGCCAGCCCAACGGGAAGGAAGCTCAGAATCAGCCATAATTAAATTTAAGAGAAATGAAGAAACAGAAAATGTTTGTGCAACCATGTTTGTAGTCCAGGTCTGATACCTACAACAATAGCAAATTAGGCATTTTAATTGTCCGGGTTTTTTTTAAATTCATCAGTCTGCTTATGAAGCTTGGCTGTAGGGACCCAAGGATGAAAAAGGTGCCAAGAGACTTATCCTCAAGGTCCTTAACTCTGTTGAGAGTACATACATAGGTAGGGTAGCATGAATCACAGGTGCCCCAGAGGAGATCTGGTCAGGCTCATGTCACCTGGGAAGGGGGCAGTGGGTTAGGAAAGGATTGCTCATGGGCTCAGGATGCTTTGCTCTATCTGAGCCTAGCTCATGGCTCGGCCCTGTGCTGATGACTCTGTCTTCCAGCAGGATGCCAGGTACAATTAATAAAACAATGTCTTGACTCTCCAAAACTCTGGGGTCTTGGTTTCTCTGTCACCACCTCCACCCGGATGGGAGTCTCACTGACACTGATGCTGGATATGGTGGTAACATAAGAACCTGCTTATTACTAAGCCACCACCTGAAATCATGAGCTTTCACTCCTGTAGTGGGAGTCTGGACAGGAAGGATAAAGCAGTCCCATCCCAGACTGTCTCTGGTGGTCACTATTCCCTCTTTAGCCCGATTTTATCTGTCCCTTCTCATGACTTCCCTAGCTCCAGGAAAATGTCCCTTCTTGGGCCCAGAATGTCTTGACCAGGGATTTTTTTCCCATCTCCATTTCCTCAGGGATGGCAGATTGTCCTTAGGAGATGAGCTGCTGGTGATCAATGGTCACTTACTGGTCGGGCTCTCCCACGAGGAAGCTGTGGCCATTCTGCGCTCAGCTACTGGGATGGTGCAGCTGGTGGTGGCCAGCAAGGTAGGTCGTTTTTGTTTTGTGTTTTAATATTCATAAAGGTGGTGGTGAATTTGGATTTGAGGCCCACCCCCACCCCCATGCCACACACAGATGTGTGTGCACTTGCACATTTACCTTGGGCCATTTCAATAGCCTTGATTCTACAGGGCAAGGCCACACGGAGGCCCTTAGCCAAAGTGCATTTAAACTGCTTTCCTTTAAGAGTTTTGTGTTTTTTTTATTTAAGAGACAGGGTCTCACTCTGTTGCCTAGGCTAGTGTGCAGTGGTGCTATCGTAATTCACTGCAGCCTTGAACACCTGGGCTGAAGCAATCCGTCCACCTCAGCCTCCTGAGTAGCTAGGACTACAGGTGTGCACCACCACGCCCAGCTCCTTTTTAAATCTTTTGTAGAGACAGGTCTCCTTATGTTGCCTAGACTGGTCTTGAACTCCCGGCCTCAAGCCATCCTTCCACCTTGGCCTCCCAAAGTGCTGGGATTACAGGGATAAGCCACCTCACCTGGCCCCTTTAAGAGTCTTTATAGATATATGTTAGGGGTTAGAGAAGAAACAACAAGACTAAGGAGAGGTAAGAATGGTAGAGTGGAAGGGAAGACAATGTGGAGAGAGCAGCAGCTGTCCCAGGGGAAACTGAGGGGAGATGTGGAAGTCTAGGCAGCAGGGCAGGGGGAGAGAGGGGCGCAGGGCTGTACACGTAGGCCTCGGGCCCCGAGTGTTGGGGCTGGAGGAAGCTTCGTGAATCCTGCTTGTCCAGCCACCATCCTGCCTGGCCAGGTACCATCCTGCCTTTCTTCCTCCCCAGTCTTACAAATGGGACAGTGAGGCAGAGCTTCCTTGGCCGGCTACTCTCCGACAGAGGCCACCGTGCTGTCAGCAGTGCCAGTACCCGGGCCCTTGGTGTCCGTCCCCTGTCTCGCAACTGCTTCCTCTTCGTGGTTCTCCCTTCTCAAGGTCCAAAGGCCCCAGGTGGGGACTTCCGTCACCCTCGCCCCCAGAGTGTGTGGACACAGAGCCCATGTTCTGGGCCCTGGCATCTGCTTTCTCTAAGGCCACAGGGCTCCACAGCTGTGGCGGGGAGGAGGCGTGGACCTGTCTGTGTCTGAGCTGTTGTCTTGAGCTGTTGGGGACACTAGGAAAGAGCCGGTGTGACCGAGGGGCTAGCGAAGGCTTCATTCCAATCCTGGCCTCGAAGGATGGGGCTGAGGCCACACCGGTCTTGCTTGGCCCTTCGCAGTGTGACACTCGCCGGTACGGGGGATTCCTTGTCATTATCCCTGCTGTTTTGAACCCGATGTCTGCAGGTGTTTATGTATTTTCCCTCTTAGATTGCAAGAAGTGTTGCCAGTTTTTGGAGTGTTTAACAAATAGATTAGAAGAACATTTTGAACTATCTGAAAAATCTGCTTTCCTCTCTTTGTACCTTTTACCCCAAACCCTTGACCTAGACTCTCAGGCCTCCAGAAAGAATATTACAGAGCCTTGCTGCAGGCTTGGCAGGAGGAGTAGCTGTCTCAGTCCCTGGAGGCAGGTGTTGAGCCATTTTTCGTTCCTTGGTCCTTCCCCTGCTCCCAGAGATACCAAGGGGCTCCCTGGGGACTTCTCTTGAGTCCCACGAGTGCCATACCCATCTTCAACCAGATGCAGGGGTCCTCAAACTTTTTAAACGGGGGGACAGTTCACTGTCCCTCAGACCGTTGGAGAGTGCGCACCGTGGGCCCGGGACGAGTCGGCTGCTAAGCAGGACAGGCAGCGGCAGCAAAAACACCCGGAGGGCTGGATAAATGTGCTAGACAACCCACATGTTGCCCCTGGGCTGTAGTTTGAGGACACCTGAACCAGAGCGTCTGCCTGTGGGCTGTCTGTGTCCCCTCATGGGGCATGGGAAGGGGAGAGCAAACCCCAGGATTTTCTCTGTCAGCTGGCGAATTCCACAAGCAGGGAGATGCTGCAAGAGAAGGACAAACAAAAGCGTCTGTTTGCCAGAGGTAGCAGGAGCTCCCGAGCCTCATCGGGTCCTATACACACAGGCACGTGTCGGCCGAGAACGCGCATTCTGTGTGCACAGCCCGCCTCCCACGGTCTGTGGCTGAGCAACGTGGGTTTCCGCGCAGGAATTGTATCGTGTGCCACCAGACCTTCCTTTCTACGCTGACTTCTTTCTCCTGCTAGTTTGGAAGATGGTGAAGGGGACAGTTTTTCTATGTCAAGCCATTATCCACAAACATACACACAAAAAAAAACACACAGCACAAGATAAAAACAAAACAGCAAGTGACTGAGGCGCATACACAGGACTTTGAAAACCAGTTCTTGGATAGTGGCTGCTCGCTGGTGTCACACACTGACTTAAAGGAAGAATGAGCACGACATGTACCAACACGACAGGTGCCCGCCACGTGCTTTTTTACCAGTTACCTCATTTAATTCTTTAAAAATCCCCTGAGACAGGTATTAGTCCTTTTCATTCAAAAATGGAATTAAAATGCGAGTGGTTACTCACCTGGCCCCAGGTCACGTGGCAGCAGGCTCCAGAAGCCGGTTTTATCCTGAGTCCACTGGACTCCGCAAGTCATGCTTCTGCACCTGCACCAAGCTGCCCTTTATGCAAATGAGATGTGACGGACACCAGAGCCAGTGGTATTAGAAAAAGATAATGTGCTCCTGCCAGAGGCTTTGACTTTTGGGGACACTTGCTGGGGTCCTTGTGGAGCTAGCAGCATCTAGGAACCACAGAATGTGTGTCCATTCAAGTTCTCAGTCCTCTGGCTCTTGGGCATCTGTACCGAGCTACAGTCCTGAAGCTGACCCCAACCTCAGAGCAAAGTGACACCTTTCACTTCGCCCAGCATGCTCCATTCACAATCCGACAGTAACCGACTACAGCACGGCTGTTTTTCCTGAACTTCATCTATACCATCCGGGCACTTATCCATGTAGGATTAAAAAGCAGCCTCAATCTTTAGGCACCTGACATCTTTTCCTCTTGTTTATCCAACAAAGCAAATAGTCCACGGGCTTCTTTGCTGCCTTCATATTTGCAAGGATGGAGGAAGCTTTTTGAGTTGCTGAATATGAAGAAAAATAAAAATGTAAATTTTGTTATAGGTGATAGTCACCTTGTCACAAACTTTAAGGCATTGTTTTGGAACGAGAGCAGTTACTTTCTTGCAGAGAGATGTCTCCTGTTTCCACACAAGCCTGTTGTTTCCTTATATAGTAGGAGCTTCGAAAGTTTTTGTTGAATGAATGAACTCAGAATATCCAAGTTAGTTTTTCTATCCCTAGAAGCAAGGCAGAGCTTATTGCTTACTTTTGTTTTTTCCCCACTCTTGGTGTTTATTAACAGTATATATTTATTATATCTAACATAGACGACCCCCCAAAAATACAGAGGGTTGAAAAAGAACATGACATTTTCGTAATACCACCAATAGTACTATCCATTAACTGGTGTGTCCTTCCAGCTGGGAACGTGTGTGTGCACGTGCGTGCAACACACACACACACACACACCTTCTTTTAAATGGAATCAAACACAGGGAGACAGAGTGCACCCTGGAGGCGGTCCCTCAGTGCCAGCCCAGCCCTTTAAAAGCTCTGTGTCTTCGGCAACCTGTTACTTCTCCCTAAATCTTAGTTTTCGTATCTGTACAATGAGAACCAGCAACTACCTCATGAGGATGTTAGGGAGATTGCACGAGCTTGTAAAGGGCCCCGAGCAGTGCCCGCCTTTATGGTTATCGCATAGTATTACATCTAGTTTATTGTTATATATGTTATTCATATCATGGCTAATACATACTGTTTTAACCTGCTTTTTTACCAGTAGCAAGCATACTGTGAGACTCTTTCCACGTCAGGAAGTCCATTTCTACAGCACATCATTTGTAATGACCCTGGAGTAGTCTGTCCTGTAGCTGCTGTGCAGTTTACTCACCAGTTGGAATCTTTGGTTTTCGTCTTTTTTAACTCTTTTTCTGTTAATAGTCTAGCAGAGTTGACATCACAGAAGAGGACTGAACTCACTTTGTATTATTTAATAACCCTTTCTTCCTTTCCTTAGGTAAAGGCTAGCAGTATACTATTCACAATTACTGGCCTAAAATGAATTATCTTCAGGCACCTTGAAGGTGAAACCAGCATCAAACTAGTAACAAATGTCACTGTCATTGGGTGCCAGCCCACTAATATTTAGTAACATCTGTTATTTAAGATGGGTCATTTTTTTTGATCCACTTTTCTATCCTCAAGCAACATGATGATTAAAACTTTCTCTGTGTTTCTCTCCTTGTAGAGGTGGCTGGTGTGAGAAAACGAAGAGAGAACAAATTTCTCTTCTCTTTTTGCTGGCCTTGGATCAGCTGTGCAGCCCTGACCCCTTGCCTGGGGGTCAAGCGCTGTGGCATTTCCCAGTTGGGACTGTCAGGAGGTCTAAATGATCTCACCTGCACCCCACAACTTGCTCTGGCCTTAACTGTTCAGAAGGACAAAGGGCTGTGTTAATGAAGCCCCCTTTACAGTTCAACCTAAATGGAGTCTGATTGCATGTATTTTTGTTGACCTTTAAAAGTTGATCAAGGGCCACTTTCATTAAAAAGACATTATCTGTCTCCACTTTGGCATTTTGATTCAACAAGCAACCCAATCTCTTTCTAATAAGCATATGCTGGGGGGGGGCGGGGGAGACAAGGATATCTGGGGTCTGGACTAGGCCTGGGCACACAGACGAGTCACTGCAAGGAAATAAAAGCAATGGTCAATGACATTAGAGAAGAAAGGGAGGGCAAATGGAATGCCTCCTGAGATGATCCAGGAGGGCTTTCAGAAGGACGAGATGCTTAAGCTTTGCCCAGGTAGGCCTCCGTCATGACACAAGGATGATCTCAGCAGAGGGAGCTGCTGCTGGTGGAAAGGGCAGTGGGCAAAGGAGAGCCCAGAGGGTTTGGACGGCAACAGGACTAGAGTGGAGGGTGTAGGTTGGAGAAGGGGGTGAGTTTGGAGAGCTGGGCAAAGGCCAGATCTCTAAAATGCTGGCCTGCCAATGAGGGAGTTTAGATTGTATCCTGAAAGCAAGACACGGGAGGCTGCTGAAGGATCTGAAGTTTGGGGAGCTTGGATTACCCCGAGAAACAGTGACCTAAGAAACACACATTCTTAAGGGAAAAAATGGTTTGTGCTTAAATTGGGCACACGATCCTGACATTTGAGGTAACCTTGCCAATGCACAGAGCACGTGGTCCAGACGGTGTTTGGTTTGGGAGCACGCAGCTTGACTCTGCCAGGTTGGCTTCAAGAACTGGTTGGTGCCATGGCATAATTCATGATGGGCCTTTAATTGTGTCCCCACAGGAAACCTCTGCAGAGGACCTCCTCAGGTTAACATCTAAGAGTTTGCCTGAGCTGACCAGCTCCATAGAGGACGTGTCCTCTTGGACCGACAACGAGGACCAGGAGCCAGACGGAGAAGAGGACGTAGGAAGCGGCCCGTCTTCCCTCCGGGGGGCGGTAAGTGTGCCTCCGGGTTCCCAGGCTGTCTGCTGGAATCATGTTTACTTGAAGACGTGAGTGCCGAGATCACAGGATAAATGCCCGAGACTGTATGATAGAGACCAGCATGGGAAAGGAGCACAGCACATTCTATTTATGTTTTTCTCAGAATCTTCTGGAAAAAAATCTGTGATGGTGATGCTTTTAAGAAAAAAATTGAAACTGTAAACAAGATAAGAAAGCAACTGGGTATTGGTTCTTAGTGTATATCAATTTCCAGCATGCCTTATAATATATACAAGGATTTTGTTGGTACATCTTGATAGTGTGTTTGAAAAATACTATTAGTGACTTTAAACTTAGACTGAAAGATTTCTAGTTGAAGGTGAAACGTTACAATAACACAAAAAAACCACTCAGGCAAAGTTGTGTGGAATATGTCTTCCAAGTTTCGTCACACCAGGACTCCCCACGTGGCTCATAGCTCTTCCTGAAACAGGGACTTCACAGTGTGCTCTCGTGCTGCCCGGCACACACAGAGCCAAGGGGCTTTTGGTTAACCGGTTGCAGTGTGGCTCTGTGGTCCCCTCCTCGTATCCCAGATCTGAAAGACTTGTCATTTTTAGTGTACTGTCGTTAGCCCTTGTTCCCTGTGCAAACAGCTATGGAGCAGGCACCTTCTTTCTGCCATTTCAAACCCCTTAGTCTTTCCCACCAACACTGAACCTAGGCAGCAGTGGGTGAGTGCTGGAAAAATAGTTTTGCTTATAATAAGGCCTTAGAAGATAAAAAAAAAAATGCATGTCATATTTACCATTATTTGAGAAAAATACATTACTTTGAGAAAAAAATGTTGCTTTTCCTCCTTCCTTTTGTTTCCTAGAGATGCAGAGCCACCAAGTATGGTTGTGTAGGCTTTTATATTTATTATAACAGTTTTCTGAAAGAACTCTGTGCTCTGTGTTGGCACAGAAGTTACCCTCTGCCCCTTGTTTTCCCTGGGACATGAAGTGAGTGGGATGATGCAGCTGTCCAACTAGCAGACTTTCAACTCCTGCCCCACTCCAGCACTCTGATCTATTCTAACCAGACGGCTTTTGCTAGCAGCTCTCCAGCCCGACGCCAGCTCGTGGAGTTCCCTATGCTCTGTCCCCTCCCACGCTCAAGTCCGCAGGGCCCTGCTGTGAACAGGATCCTGCTGCTCAGCAGTTGTGACCCAGGACATCTCAGCCAGCCTTCAGTGGAAACCCAGAGGAGCTCAGGGCCTTACAGAGAGGAAAACTCTTGGCACATCTGCACCCCCTCTGATAAAGCCCCTATTTACAGCTGTTGATGTAGCACAACAGCTCTTTGTGCAGAGGTGACAGTTACATACTTTAAAAAAAAATAAAATAAGTCATATTCTCTTGCAAAAAACTCCAAGGGATCATTTAATTGCCTGGGAACTTTTTTTTTTTTTAATCTTCATAACCTTTAATTTAACAAAACATTCTTATACATCATGCCAAAACTATGAACAACAAAAGAAAAAAATAAATTAGACTTTATCAGAATTAAAAACTTTTGTACATCATAGGCACTATTAAGAAAATAAAAGACAACTCACAGAATGGTAGAAAATATTTGCAAATCATATGTCTGATAAGGGACTTGCATCTAAAATATATAAAGAACCCTTATTACTCAATATAAAAGTTAAATAACCCAATTAGAAAATGAGCAAAGGATCTAAATAGACATCTACAAGAGATATATAAATGGCCAATAAGCACATAAAAAGATGATTGACATCAGGAAAATACAAATCAAAACCACAATGAGACACCGCCCATCTCCAGTGAGAATGGTGCCTAGGAACTTTTTATATGAAATACTGCTCTAATAAGTGACCTATTACTTATATTAAATATATTTCATGTTATATATTAGTGATTTTTATTTAAGTTATACTTTAAACTGACAATTTTTGTAAATTATAACTTATAATTTAAATCAAGTTATGTAATTTGATGCATAATTTAAATGAATTTTTCTGATTACAAAAGTGACATTTCACTATATAAATGTTTTTGAGCAAAAGAAAAAAAATTCCAAAGACAATATAAATCACCCACAGTCCTACTATTCAAAGATAGCCATCTTTAACATTTTGCCATGGCTTTCTAACTGAATTTTTTCCGTAAGCCCATGCATGTTTTTAATTGACCTTGTTTTAATATACTTATGAAACTTGCTGTGGTCTCAATGATAAAATCATAAAACATGTCCCTATTAAAGGGTCTTCTGAAATATGATTTATGATGGCTAATATAACATGAAAGTGCCATCATTTGCTTCACCAATTTACTACCCTCAATTCTATTTACATCAGTCACATATATATCCAGGTTTTTTTCAAAATGATAATTCTGTACAGAACATCTTTGCCCATATATCTCTGTGCATTATTTTTTATGATATTTCCTCAAATAGCTCCTAACAGTAGAAACTACTTAGGCAAAGGTTCTCTCCAGAGGGGTTATACTAACTCACACCTGCAGCAGCCGCCAGTTCCCGTCCTCACCGATAACATCATCTGAGTTTATTCATTAATCACACATTGTTCTAGGACTTTATTTTTGTAGTTTTTCCAGAAGCATTTCAGTGCATTCTGTCATAACGCACTTTATTTGGGAAACTTTAGGTTGCCTTTAAGGAGAAGCTTATGACTCAGCTCTATTTTGCCACAAGTATACATGTTGTCTGTGCTGTATTTCTGGGTTTCTCCTCATGTCACCCCCAGCTCTTACAGATCCTAAACCCATTATCATCCGTGGAGAAACCAGAACAGATCCTACTTCGACAGTTCTCCCTTCTCGGTGCCTGCGACACCACCTCCCCTGGCCACCCTTCCTGCCCGCCCAGTCTCAGAGCACTCACAGAGGAGGGGACCAGGGCTTCTTGCCTGGCCTCCCACGGGGCCTGAACACTCTCCCTTTCTTGGCCATTCTCCTGAGCTCTCCCGGCAGGCAGTCCGGGAGGACCAGGCCTGAGACTCAGCCCTGCAGGGGGCAGGACGTGTGGGCAGCCAGTACAATCTACCCAGTCTGCCCTGCTGTGCCTAATAAAGGTGCTGAACTACTGGAAAAAAAAAAAGTTTTTTCTTTTTTTTAGTTAATACCCTCACAATCCAAGATTCTTTGTTTTATAATTTTTAAAAATGAAAGAACCACTTAAACGAAAGGAGCCCAGTACTGTTTTAATCAGCTAAGTCACAAAGCCTCTTATTTCACAGATGATGATTAAACCTGCCGCCAGATTCCGCTCAGACATTGACTATTTTTGCACCTGTAAGTCATGGTGTGTTCCGAGCTGTTAGGCTGAGCAGAAGTAATACAAATGCTCAGGATCTGCCACGAGGCTCCTTATGATTTATTTTCCATGGCTACAATAAATAGCAAGGAGATTTTCCTTTCAAAAAGCGCCATCCATGCTTAGAATAAAACCATATGGTGAACATCGAGTCCGAGGAGTCCAGGCAGGGAAAACAGAGAACGGGTGACACTCCGCAGTCACTTGCATGACTGCCATCCACCTCAGTGGGGTCTGGCCTCATTGACGGGGCTCACTCCCCACCGCCCACCCCCACTGTCACCGCCACCACACCGAGGACTGAAGACCGCCACTTCAGACCGGAAGTCTAGCCCCTCCCCCACACCGCCTGTGGCCTTGCTCCACCTGGGTGGCCACAGGTGGCCATTCCTCCTCGACTCTCTTCACTTGCCTTCTGCTCTGCAGTGACAATATTTTAAAGAAGAATCTGGCCATGTCACTTAAGCATTTAAAATAATTCAGTGGCTCTCAATCACCCCGAGGTTAAAACCAACTCCTCCATGTGGAATACTGTCAGCCCCGGACGGGTAGCGCCACCTTTTTCTCCTATCTGCACACCCAGGGGCTCTGCACATGCGCACACGCATGCCCCCTGCTGGCGGTGTGAGTCTGCGGGTTCCTGCTCCCTGCTTTGTGCCTTTGCACCTGCTGTTCCTTCTGCCTGGAATAGCTTCTTTTTCTCCTGGCAAGATGCTTGGCGACCCAGCCCAGAAGTCACTCTTCCCCTTAAGTAAACCTTTTCATGATCCCCGGAGTGATCTGAGCTGTGCTCTGTACTTGCATAGCACTGTATGTGTTTTTCTGTCATGGTACTTGTCCTCTTGGCTTCATAATTTCTTTGTCCGGCTCTGTCTTCCTTCTTAGACATTCACATTTCAAGGGCAAGTCCTGTGATGCCTTAAGCATCCCTCTATCCTTAGGACCCAGTGCAATGCCTGGGATATGAGAAGGAATTGGAGGGACAGATTCTCCTGTGATCTGTCACTCCTTGACCTCTTCCAGCCCTCCCCTTGAAGCTTACCTGGTTCTCTTATCCTAAAGGCACAAGCCTGGGTCCCTGAGCCTCTGACTCACAACTCCTGCCCCCGGTATGTGCCCTCCCTGGGCCCTCTCCATGTCCTCTTCAGAGGATCTGTCCTCTGCTGCCTCCACCAATTAAGGTGTCAGCAGTCAGGGCACTCCAGCATATCAGGATCTGGCCTTGCCTCCAACTGGAGAACAAGGAAGAACAATTCTTGTCCCGTGGCCAGTTGAGAGTGGCCCTTCTGGGTGGTGCAGCCGAGTCCTTAGCCCCAGGAAGACGGTGACCCATAATTCCTCCCTGCATGCTAAGACCCCCACGGAAGGGAGGGAGAGCAGATGTGGAAAGCAGGAGGAATGGCTTTGCTTTGAGGTGCACTACACATGTGCCCCCCTCTTTGGTTCTCTAAGTGCTGCAATTCCATTCAAGGACCAAAGAAGTGCTAAGCTCTCTGTGAAGTTGCCTTCTGCTTGAAGCATCTGGTCACCTCTCCTTCTCCCAAAGCTGCTAAGCCGTCCTCCTCTGGGCACTTGTAATCTGCTCCTCTCCATTTAATACCGCTTATCTCTTTGGGTAAGAAAAGGAAATACTGAAAGGTTTTAAACTTTCGCAGTCAGGTGTACCT